ACTCGTGTCTTACTGCCTGCGCGATCTAACAGTAATCAGACAGGTAGAGCAAATGTCAAAAGCAGATCTTCCAGTTGGTAATGTCAGAGAAAGAGGAGATCCATCTATCCATGTCTGCTAACACTCAACTACAACAACAACAATAAAAAAATATAAACCAATAGATTTGAAGTATATAGCAGAGAACCTGAGCCAAAGAACTTTCAGTGCTATAGTGCTTCTGGATCATTATTTCTTCTCTCCCTCTTGTAATCAATTTCTCTGTAAACCACTTTGGATCAAGAAAAGAGACCTTTCCCTCTCTCAAAACTCAGTAGACATTTTCATGACCTTCTCTGTTGCATTTTAAATCTTCTCAACACAAAATACAAAAATAGTACATAAACAGACAAAAGAGTAGGATTTCTGGCTGGCAGATCTGTTGGTTTTTTCATGATTGGAGTAAAAAGTGGAGAAAAATGGCAATCTCTCTCACACTTAAAGCCACAATAGTCATGGAAGTAGCCAGTGACTGGAGACCGTCTTTGTTTAAACAGCAAACTAACCAGACTAATTGGAAGTGAACACATCCTTGTCTGTGGCTTACTTAGCCAAAGCATCCTCAATAACATACAAAGAATGAACTTGTTTCATTCACAGAGAAATGCACAACGGATCATTTTATCACTTCCTTTGTGGACTGGCCAGAAAGGGGAAGTCATGCCACAGTAAAGGGAGGGAGGAATAATAAAGGGGAAATAAGGTTTATGGCAGATGTCCCTGGAATCCTCAGACAAAGTTTTGATTTCTTGATTTCAGATGGAGCTCATTGTGATCCTTGCCCAGAAGACCAATCCAATATCTCAACAAACAAAAGGACTGCTGTATTGCCAAGAAGATCCACTTCCTTTCCTATCAAGAGACCCTGGGAGACTCTTTAGCATCTCTCACTCTTTCTCTCTCTATGAACACATTGGCAGTTCTGGGCATTTTCCTTATGCATTGCTACACACCAATTGTCAAGGCCAATAACCGAGATCTCACTTACATCCTTCTGGTCTCCCTCCTGCTCTGCTTCCTCTGCTCCTTCCTCTTTATTGGTCAACCTAGGAAGTTCACTTGTCTCTTCCAACAAGCTACCTTTGCCATTGCTGTTTCTTCTGTTTTGGCAAAAACTGTCATGGTAGTGCTTGCCTTCATGGCCACCAAACCAGGGAACAAGACAAGGAAATTCTTAGGAAAGCCACTGACCAACTCCATTGTCTTAGCCTGTCCCCTGGTCCAAGCAGTTCTTTGTGCCATCTGGCTGGTAACCTCTCCACCATTTTTCAACTTGGACTTCCACTCCGTGATAGGAAAGACCATCTTGAAATGTAATGAAGGCTCAGCTTCAATGTTTTATGCTGCCTTTGCCTATCTGGCTTTCCTGGCCATTGTCAGTTTCACGGTAGCCTTTTTGGCTAGGAAATTGCCTGACAGCTTTAATGAAGCCAAATTCATTACTTTTAGCATGCTGGTCTTTTACAGTGTTTGGATCACCTTCCTCCCTACCTACCTGAGCACCAAAGGGAAGTCCATGGTGGCCATGGAGATCTTCTCCATCTTGGCCTCTGGATCTGGTCTTTTGGCTTGTATCTTGTTCCCCAAATGCTATATTATCCTATTGAGGCCTGATCTTAATCAGAGAAAAAATATAATGAGGCACAAGAATTTATGTATAAAGTAGTGGCTTTATTTTGCCACTGGACGCTTTTTTAATTTGATGTGGTTTCTTAACAATGGTGAAATAAGAGAGTGGCTTCTCCTTCAAATAATTGGAAATGATGGAAATATTTTGTGGTGTAGTGGTTAGAATGCAGTAATGAAGGCCAATTCTGTTGATTGCCAGGGCTTCGATCCTGACTAGCTCAAGGTTGATTCAACCTTACATCCTTCTTTAATCAGTAAAATGAGGACCAGGATTGTTGGGGGCAACATTCTGATTTTGTAAATTGCTTAGAGAGAGCTATAAAGCACTGTGAAGCTGTATATAAGTCTAAGTACTATTGCTATTGCTATTTTATAATCATCTCTGTCCAAAGACATATCATTTTAAGTTTTAGTTCCTGTTTGAAATTTCTTCTATTTGCATTTCAGATTTGGCACAATACAATTTAAAGTATTAAAACTTTTCTCCTTAGGTGTCTGTATTGTCATGTGATATGATTAATTAATTAGAATATCACATTAAACAACCTTTTGGACAGTAAAGGTGACTAACAAGCAAGTACTGGAGCACATACCACCAGACATATTGCTGGAAGGAAATTATGAAACTGAGTCTCACTTACTTTGGCCATGTCATGCAGGGAAATTCACTGAAAAAAGCAATTAAGTTTGGAAGAGTTAAAAGGAAACCAAGCCACCAAAGAATGCCATGGCTGAACACTATCAAAGCTGACACCAACTGGAACATAGAACAACTAAAAAAATTAGTGCAAGATCAGAAGATGTGGAGAAACCTGGCCCATAGAATCGCCAAGAGTCATGTTCAACTCAATGGATAACATCATCATAATATCATAAATCAACATTACATCCATTTTTCCAAATAAGCATGGACATTCTTTGGCATCTCTGCCCAAATATGTACAATTTTTTGTTCCTGTGTGAACCTTTTATTTGCATTTGAGATTTAAATATACAATTTAAAGTATAACATACCTTTCCTCACAATTTGTTTTATGTTTTTGTTTTATGTAATGCTTGATAGGAGCCAGCAGGAGTTTTTGACTAAGTTTTTGACTAAGTTACCCAAACATAGTTACCCAAACTAAGTTACCCTTGGAGTACAAAATGAAGCAGGGAACAGGCTGATAGAATTTTGTCAAGAGAATATGATGGTCATAGCAAACACTCTTTTCCAACAACCCAAGAGACGGCTCTACCCATGGACATCACCAGACGGTCAACACAGAAATAAGATTGACCATGTGCTCTGCAGCCAAAGATGGAGAAACTCTATACAGTCAGTAAAAACAAGACCAGGAGCTGACTGTGGCTCAAATCATGAGCTTCTCATTCCCTTCAGCTAGGTTACCACTTCTGTGACCCTGTTTTGAGAGATAAGAGCCAGTTCCCCACCTTCTATCAGATTAATCCTCAGTATCACCTACAGAATGCAGCCATTGTCCAGCTCCTTCTATATTTCCAATGGAACTGGATTGGGATTATTGTTCAGAAATCAGAGAGCAGTGACCACTGCATCCAGATTTTTAACACCACCCTTGCCCACAATGACATTTGCATACAATTTGTAAAACAGATCTAGCCCCAAATCTCAATGTTCAATGCAGTGCCAAGAAATCTAATGGATGTGCTTTGGACACTTTTGAACAGTGATGCTAAGGTGTTGATGATCTCGGGGGATTCAAATTCTCTGCAAAGCCTTATAGTATCCCTCTACATTTATGAAGAAGAGAACCACCCTATTTTGGGGAAGGTCTGGATCCTGACCACCCAATGGGAGTTTTCAGCGATTGGCTATCACTACGACTGGGTAAAATTAAAAACCCTCCATGGAGCTTTGTCTTTCACGGTCCACACAAACCTGGTGCCAGGATTAAAGAATTATCTCTGGGCTCTGAATCCACATGAACCTAATGGAGATGTCTTTCTTCCCGAATGGTGGGAAATTGTATTTGACTGTGAGCTTTTGAAGGCAGGTCTGGCCTCACCTGATGGCCGAAGGGTTTGCACAGGGCAGGAGAACCTGGACACCCTCCCGGCCTCCGTCTTTGATGGGAAGATGACCAGTTTTAGCTACAGTATCTACAATGCTGCCTATTCTCTGTCACATGCATTACATGCTGCGTATACATGGGAATCACAATGGGCATTGAAGAGGGACAGAAAGAAGACACACCTTCATCTCTCTGTGAAGCCCTGGCAGGTAACTCTTCAGATCTTCCCTACTGGTATATGAAATTCCATGCACCGCCTGCCCCACCACATACATCGGACAAACCAACAGAAGAATAAGTGCGCACATTGAAGAACACAAGAACTCAGTCAGAAAAGAGGAACTAACGTCTTCCCTGGCCCAACACCTTAAAGCCACAGGACATAAAATTGACTTTAAAAAGAACAGAACTATCGCCAAAACTGAACACTTTAACAACAGAATAATCAGAGAAGCCATCGAGATAGAAAAATGCCCACACAGCATGAATAAACGAGATGATACCTCCCGCCTACCAGCCATTTGGAAACCCGCCCTTATTCACAAACGAGTCCCTAACACAAAGAATGACACTAGACCCACACTCACGAAAACCACACAGGATGTCACCACCACACATCTACGCAAAAAGCAAACCCAAACCCACACTGATGAATAGGCATGACCACAAACCAGACCACAGCTGCATCATTAGCCATTTTAAACCCCTCCAATCCATATATGAAGCAAACTGACACCCACCTTGAAGATATGACACGACCACGAATGCGAAGCCAAACAACAGCAACGCGGCTCTCCATCTCAAATCCCCCTGCAACTCAGACTAATTCGAGCACAACAAAATCCCCACCCAAACAGAACACACCCCCATCCAATCAGAGCATAGCCAACCCCCCATCCAATCAGAGCACAGCCAAGCCCGTAACCAATCAGAACACACCTCCACCCAATCAGAACACAGCCAAGCTCCCACCCAATCAGTTCATACCCCCACTGGCAGTTAAAAGGAAGAAACAGCTGCGATCACACATTGCTTCTAGAAGCACGAAGCCGAAAACACCAGCCTGAAGATGACGAATGGGACTTCGTCGAAACGTCGCCAAGACACTTCCAATTTTACGCGGGAGAAAACCCGAATAATATATAATAATATATAATAATATATAAAAAGCTAGGCGTTTTAATTGGTTTTATTAGTAATGTTAATAATTTTAATATTAAATCAAATTATTTTATCATATTCCCTGGTGCTCGTGTTTGCTCACTGTTTTAATATATATATATATATATATATATATATATAGGGAGTTCAGACAGATCAGTCTGATTGTGAACAC